AAAGCACCATTGCTAGCATGAGGGGATCCCCTCCCACTAATGGAACCTTCCAGCTCTGAAAACAAGCAATGCCAGAAGAGGAAAGGTAAACAAAGCCCTGTAGCAGACACCATACATTCTCACACAGAGAGCTCACCGTTCTCAAAGAGCTCAAAGGTCAAATAACAACCCCGCTCATCAATAACATCACCATCATTTCACTGATTTATACATTATGCCACAATATGAGATTATTTATAATAAATAAGAGTAAAATGCTTTTTATGATTGAACAGTTTATTATTACATTTTTAGTTCAATGTTTTCCATAAACCATAGTTTCTGCGAAACCCTATTGTATGAGCGATCTTATTTAATTAATTGCGTGGTCCCGTCTAGCCTCAGGGCGCAATTTTTTGCCGAAAACCTAATTTGCTGTCACTCACATCAAACGACTCTTACATATTTTAAGGGCTAAACGAGTCAGCTCCTTGAGAACATAGAATAGAAATATGATGCCAATAATAACAGAGCATTCATAGTCTAAATCAAATGGTTGGAGTTATTAGATGCTGCACAGGAAGGATTATAAATCTATTGTACATAGTTTGGAAAGAAAGACAAAGAGCTACAGTGTATACTGCAATACCCCTCTACAGGATCCATGATGGACCCCTGTGCCTCTTAATTAAACCATTCAGTCTCACACCACTGGCAGTTGTTCAGAGACATATTATAAGGGCTATTTCATTTACATTTATGTGTTTTACAATGTAAAGAACAGGCTGTTTGTAAAATATATGGGGATGTGTGCTCCTGTGTTTTAGCTGAGCAATTGTTTCATTATGAAATCAACGGGTAGCACAACGGTTCTTAAACCCCCCCACATATACCAAAAAAAAAGAAAGCCGATTCTCGGTTGTCATAGAAACCCAGGCCTGCTCTAGTTCTGGCCTGGGGAGACATACGCATGGTTGTCCCCATTGGGGCCTAGCACAGTCCAGACTGGCCCTTGGCCACAAGCCCAAAGACAAGCTTTAGGAAGTAGTAGAGAACTTTTGCTCTGTGTGGCTGTAGGCTGAACTGCCTCAGAACTGTTTCATCACCTGGACGATCACACAGATAGGCTAAGAGATGCAGGCTTGTGCAAGTGTGAGGTCCTTTGAGGGGTGGAACCAGGCACAGCCTGAGAGAGCCTTGGCCATAGGCTAATGTGTAATGAGCCACTCGATGTCTGACTTAGTGCTCAGAAACTGCTGCCTGAATTTTACAAATGTCCGCCTTAACGTCAAAATAATGAAGAAAACAGCAGCCTCACAGAAGCGATCTCATTTCACTTACAGCAATGACTTTTACAGCACCATTGAAGTGAAGGAAAAGGACAAGATAAGATGACCTGTTTTTTCCCATGCTGTGATGTCTGCAGATTTCACATGTGCCTGCCTGTGCTTCCTGAATAAAGCTGGCTCAGCGGCTGCGACAGAGATAACAGCAGGCGGGATGAACAAGTGTTTTTTTAATGAGGGTATTTTGTTTTATTTTGCTGTAGATCAGCCTACCTCACTATAATGTCGCTATTTTATCTGCTTTGTCTCTTTAAATGTACAGGCTGAGCATACAATCTGACAATAATGGTTAATAGACGTATATGGCGAAATAATGCAGTAAGCCCTGTCGAATTTGGGTGAAATCATTATACTATCTGGTCCAATAATTCTGATGTTTTTAAGTACAGTTCAGAATTAATATGCCATTACACGCCATTTTAGCTCTTAACCCATTCCCAGTGGTTAGCTGGGTGAAGATGTGGCAAATACACCGAGGTTTCAAGGTCAGTAGAGTCAGGGGAGCCTTCAAGAGCCCCCCTTTGCAGGGTCATTTCATCCCGCCTTGGCAGCTCCGAGAGCCGGCTGCATCACTGACATTGTGCTGTCAGCCCCCTGCGAACTCCAGTCGCCAAGCACTGCACTTTGCACTTTGAGTAAGGGCAGCAGTCTGCACACAGACATGGCGTGTTCTGCCCTACCATCTGTTATGAAATGATAGCTCGCACCAACTGTATCAGCAGAACAGGGCGACAACGCTTTCAACTCATTACAAGAACACCAGCTCTGTGTTGATACGAAAAAAAATCTTTGTGTGGGATTCATCAGATTTATATTTTATTTTCATTTGTGTATCACAAGAATATAAAGGGGAAGGTCCGTCTCTTTCACTGCTGATCCCTGTCTTCTCTGATTCTGTGATAATGACACTGTTTAAGTCATGCCCCAAAGGCACAGAAAACATAGGTATAAAAATCGCAAAGCAATTTTCCATTAACAGCTGCCACCAGATAATCTAATAATTCCTTGGAAATTATGACAGGGCTGGGAGATGGACTTAGCCCTGCAGCCCTGCAACCCAGTTTATCAGTACTGATGGTGAGAGGGCTTATAATGAAATGTGCTGGAGAAGCACAGATAAAGAGGAGCACCTCATCATTAAATGTTCATTAATTCTCAAGGCGAGTGTTGATGTGATTTAGGAAAGACACTACATTGGAATTTAACGCCATCAAGCATTTTGAAAGACTTTGTGACTGTGACTGTGCAATTTTATTCAAAAAATCATTGGCACTCAATGTAATGTAACAGTAAGGTTACAAACCAAATGTGCAATTTCCACTGAAGCTTGGTGTGATTGTCCCACTGAAAAGCCAGAAGAGTGGTCATACATTCTTCCTGTGAAATAGTTTTATAACCTTCGTACTCAGACATCTCAGTGTCATTTTTACAGGTTGTGCCCATTATCTGGTGCAAAAACCTTCAAATGTTAGAACTAGACTTTCGGCAAAGGTACCAGAAGAATCTTTTCTTTCCTCATTAGAACGATTTTCTCTGTACACTCAGCCATACCCTAGGGATGGCCAACAAATTTCCATATTGATCAGTGAAGAAGACTGAGGTAGTGTTTTTTAGAATCCCACAGATCAACCAATGTGCTCTGCCAACCCAACCTGTGGTAAAGGACAAGTCAGTAACAAAGCATCTGTGGTTAAATTGGCAGTATATTAATGGGTTAATGTTTTAATATTCAGCATGTTAAAATAAGAGACAAGGGCTGATGAGATGCTGTATCCCTGGAGGACTGCTGAATACAGATCCCCATTTGTCATCCCTGTAGAAGTGGCAGTGGCACTAGGAGGACATCACTGCAGATTTGTCACACTCACTTAATCTCCCTGCAGGCTTCCAGTTCTCACTGGCAGTAGCAGATCGAAAATAAGATTGAATCAGGAATTAATTCCTTACAAAGGTGTGATTGTGTGATTATTTAAAATTGTTTTACCACTGATATTTCACCGTTAAATACAAGAAATGAACAAAGAACCACAATAGACTTAGTCAATGTGCACATGGGATCTAGTTCAAATTGTATACACAGCTGTTCAAACCTTAATCATTTTGCATACTCTACTGTTTTCACTCAGTGGTGTTCATTCCTTAAGAAGAAATTAATTTCTACAGTGATCTTCAAGTGACATTTTAGCCATTTTGTTTCAAGATTAAATTAATCCTGTTACATTTATATTCTGTAGCCTTTTACCTTTATAGCTGCATAGAGAGGAACAAATTTTGTAAACCCCAAAGTTCACCTGACTTCTGACATATGTCAATTTTATCTTATTAGTAAATAGATGGATTGATGGATAGTAAATATGATGGATTAGTCACTACAGTGGTCAGATTCAGTTCTTATGATCAGATTTTTGAAGTTTCTGATCAATATGAGTTTAAGATTGCTAAATGGCAAGCTTGTTTTATTTCTCCCCCAAACTAAGCTATAGTAAAAAAGTCAAAGTTCCTATATACTGGAAGTTACAAGTGGATAGTTCAGGAACAACTTAAAGGTTTCTTCCATGCTGAAAAGAGCAGAAAGGAACACAACTTTTCGGCTGTGGAGCCTTCTTCGGGTGTGCTAGTTTATCCTAGTGGATAGTTCCTGCTCATAACATCCATATATTTTAACTCTGGATTGTTTGTAAGATAATATTCTACATTTCAAATATTATTGTACAGCAATGTATTTCTGTTAACAGTGCTAAAACTGTTTGGCTGTCAATTGTGTCCTGAAATGAGTAACAAAGATGTATTAGTATGTTGATGTAATGTCTCCTTGAAGTTACTCTCTGCATTACAATTTAAGCAACAAACCCAAAACCCAGGAACCATACAGCAAGGTAATGCAGGTCAAGTATAGAGCTTAGACCCTGTGTATATAATCATTATATACAACAGGTACCAAAAGCCAATAACTATCTCAGCTTCTTGTTAATATTTCAGACTTTATTAAAACCCATCCTTCAGCACAGCATATTCACTCTCCATTTATGAAATGCCACATCTTTCTTTTTTAGTTCAAAATAAATGCCCTTAGTATTAGATCTATTTTCCTTCCTTCCAATCTCTACACTGGGGAGTAGCTACTGAGAACGGGAGAACATTCACTCCCCCTGCTGTCTGCTCAAGGATTAGCACTACCAACACACAAGTGCCTTGATTTAAGGATGAGCACTCAATACAGTGCAATCTCACTGCTAATTATACATCAAAGTTAATTTTAAATGCCAATGTTAATGATAAAATAAAAGTTTAATGTTTTAATATTCAGCATAAATATCAATACCTGGTATCAAATGATTTATTTTTATATGAATAAAATAATTATGAAAGCCTTAAAACACCTTTAGAACATACAGTAGGAACATCATAATGAGTTACATTCTTGTTTATGAAGACCTTGCTCAACACTAAAAGAGGTGAAAACCATGCACTAAAACAATGTTTCTGACATCAGTGCCATTGGGACTTCAAACAACTCAAACCTTCTTAAATCAACCTTTTAGATGTTGAAATCTGGATCTGTAATATTCCATTCAGCAAAAACACACACAGTAAAAAATATTTGAGAAACGAAAGCCTATGATATGCTCATAGAGGAATGTAAGGGACTAAAAATATAAAGGAAAAGAGAGTTACCTGACACAAGTGTCCTGCAGGGAGACAGAAGAAGGGTCTGCAGAGCTCTCAACAGTGAAAGGAAGGAGGTAGAGGGGCAGCTCTTGGCTGGGTTCTGGTGTCAGAACTGTAGGGACAGAGTGTAGTTCTGGGCTGGGTTCTGGTGTCAGAACTGGAGGGAAAGACCACTGCTCTGGACTAGGTTCTGGTGTCAAAACTGTGGGGACAGAGCACAGTTCTGGACTAGGTTCTGGTGTCAGAACTGGGAGGACAGAGCACAGTTCTGGACTGGGTTCTGATGTCTGAACTGGGGGGAGAGAGTGTAGATCTGGACTAGGTTCTGGTGTTAGAACTGGAGGGACAGAGTTTAATTCTGGACTAGGTTCTAGTGTCAGAACTGTGGGGACAGAGCAGAGTTCTGGACTAGGTTCTGGTATCAAAACTGTGGGGACAGAGCACAGTTCTGGACTAGGCTCTGGTATCAGAACTGGGGGGACAGAGCACAGTTCTGGACTAGGTTCTGGTGTCAAAACTGTGGGGACAGAGCACAGTTCTGTACTAGGTTCTGGTATCAGAACTGGGGGGACAGAGCACAGTTCTGCACTGGGTGCAGGTGTCTGAACTGGGGGGACAGAGTGTAGATCTGGACTAGGTTCTGTTGTCAGAACTGGAGGGACAGAGTTTAGTTCTGGACTAGGTTCTGGTGTCAGAACTGGGAGGACAGAGTGTAGATCTGAACTAGGTTCTGGTGTCAGAACTGGAGGGATAGAGAATAGTTCTGTACTAGGTTCTGGTGTCAGAACTGTGGGAACAGAGTTTAGTTCTGTACTAGGTTCTGGTGTCAGAACGTGGAGGACAGAGTGTAAATCTGAACTAGGTTCTGGTGTCAGAACTGTGGGGACAGAGCAGAGTGCTGGGCTAAGTTCTGGTGTCAGAACTGGGGGGACAGGGCACGGTTCTGGACTAGGTTCTGGTATCAGAACTTGTGATACAGAGCTTAGTTCTGTACTGGGTTCTGATGTCTGAACTTGCGATACAGATTGCAGTTCTGGAAGGGGTTCTTGTGCTAGAACTGGGGGGACAGAATAGAGTTCTGAGGTGGATTCTGGTATCAGAAATGGGGAGACAACAGGCAGTTCTGGGCTGGGTTCTAGTGTCAGTCCAGGAAAACAGGAAGACTGTTCTGTAAAATGCTCAGGAGTTAAGGGTTCAGAGTAATCCTTCTGTGCAGGCACAGAAGATGCAGGATGTTGTTTACTGTCATCTGTCTGGGGCAGAAGGGGGGAGGGGGTCTCCGTGCAGTTCTGCGCAGGTCGGGGAGGGAGCAGGGTGAGTTCTTCTGGAGGGCTAGGTACCAGCAGGGAAGTCTCTTTCTCAGGAGACGTGGATGCCTCTTTGTTAAGGGCACACCTGTTGATGATGACATAACATTAATATTCTCATAGCTGCTCTGTAGACGATCTATGAAATGTCTGTTTTGCTCACAAGGTCTCCTTATGATAAACCAATACTTTAACTACAGGAAGATAAAACTGAATCAGAAAAATGACAATATTAAATAATGTAACATATTTAGTTTTCCAGATATGGTCTCTCGTAAAAAATGGATTCTTAAATTTAAAGTTGCAGGAACCCTAGGTAATGTACTGTATGCATAACGGTTAAGAATTGGTCCACAATCAGGAAACACTATGACATCTTAAAGTGCATTAACTTCTAATTGACAGATGTAGGCAGTGATTTAAGAGGAAGATATAGATCTCTTCCTAAGATTATATATATAAAAATCAGTTTCTGATACCGTAAGCAAACTATTTAAATTTGCAAGTGATACAAAGTTGCAAGTGGGTGTGGTAAACACAGAAGACACAGCAAGAGAATTACTGTATAGATTCAGACACATGGAAAATACAATTTAACATTACTAAGTACAATGTGATTAATACAGGTGGTAGCAAAATACATCTTACATCCAGTCTACAGTACATTGGAGAGGTTATTCTAAGGTGAAGTAAAATACCTGTGAAAAAGATCAGTTGCTATAAATTCTTCTCTGTCCTTATGAAGATAGTGTGAGAAATACACACAAGAAGCATACACACAGTTTAAATCAAGGGATGTTGTGCTCTGGTTAAAAAAACATTAGTAATACCTCATTTAGAACCTTTTGAACAGTTTTTGGTCACCACAACACTAAAAGGACATCATAGCCTTTAAGAGTTCCAAGAAGAGCAACAATAATTATTTCTGTTCTCAGGGTATACAGTACATTGCCATAAACGGATAGGTTAAAGGAGCTGTCAAGATCAAGTGAGATTGAAAGGAGATCTATCCCAAGTATATAAATTCTAAGGGGTTATGTAGGGTTATAGGAAACATTTCTTTACACAAATGGTTGTGAAAATGTGCAACAGGCGTCCTAGTCAGGTGGTTGAGGCCCAAATTGAGATACTTCAAAGTTCTAGATTAACTTAGTATTAAACTGCCAAATGGATGGACCAAATTTGTATTTTTTATATTTCAGTGGCTGAAGCCACTGATGACGATGATTAAATAGTGTAAATGAGCAGGAGAAAAAGTATTAGCAAACACTGAAACCAATCTACTGTACCATTATACCTACACTGTGGGTGTACTGGTCAAACGGAAATCAGCAAGCCCCTGCAATCAATCACACCGAATACTAAAATAACAACCGTGATAAGAAGATGCAAAAAACAGGACTTGAGGAGAATCTGGCATCCAAAAACACTTTTTCAAAGATAATTATTTCAGGTTGATTTACAGCATTCATTATTTGCTCTGGAAACAGAATGTATCTGTTAACACTTTTAAATACAGTTTCCTCATTATTCATTGTGATTAAAGTAAAAGCTATGTTGAAAAGCAGGTTAATTGTTTATGAGTGACACATGGTTTAAAGATTGTATGTCCTAATGCTTCACCTGTTTTTGTTTTCCATTTCATTTCTATTGTTGTTGTTTCATAAGGTAATTCTCCTAAGCAGTAAAGCAGGGCTGGGTTTGGCCTTGGGCAATATCAGTAGAAAGCTGAGGCCTGCCCAAAGTGGGGAAGGAGAAATTCCTCATAAGTGAATTATGAAGTGTCAGTAGGCCAATCAGCTGCTGCTCTTTGAGGAAATCTACCCTAAAATAAATTTAAGCAAAGCTTCTACTTAGCTATACCCACAATGGGAAACGTCGCTCCAGTTGTCCTCTACTGAAAGCAATGTGTCCAGTTCAGTCACAGGAAAAGGCTCTCTACAATTCGACAGGCCACACTGTACTTTTGGTCTGCAGCTATGGCAACAGTCTGACAAAATCAGCCCAAGGCACATTAAGGGCTTAGCTCAGACACTGCACCTCTAATCTGTCAGGCAGCTGCATTAGGATTATTGTTTCATCTCGTGTTCTAAAAATACACTTTTTAACACATTCTGAAAACCAGCAAAACAAAAAGACAAGTCACAATGGAATGTTGTTGAGCTGGTGACTCCTAATCAAAAGAAAAAAAATGTCTTGATTATAAAAATCATTTGGTGAGTATAAAGAGATCCGATGAAATTTATCTCACTTTTTGCAAGGCTATAATGATTTCTTGAGTGCAAATTCTTTACATCAATCAGGAATCACAGGAAGTTACTATATAAGGTAATCACCCAATTACTACATACTGCTACAGGCTGATATACTTACAAAGTTAAAACAGTAGCAGTATATTTATATATTTAATTGCACCTCTGCAGCGCAAGAATTTCAGAGAAAATATCCTCCACACACAGAACAGCAATATAACCCATTATATGAAACAAATTGTCCTGCAGACGGTTCTCAAACCCTGTACACATACTGAAAATAGCATTATGACATTGGTTATCTTGTTGCACTACATGTTGACGTGGGCCAGACGCCTGTGTGCATCTGTGTTTCAGTGGGTTAAACCTTCAGGATAGATGAGCACAGGGGAGCCAGAATCGAAACAACAGCTGCAATTTGGACAAATGGGAGGAGGGGAGAGAGACAAATGACGTAACCTTCGCGTTTGAGCCAGCATGCTATTCAAAGACATTTTTCCACATTCCTTGGCATCTCCCGTATACTTGTGTGGGAGTTTCTACGCTTGTATGCTGTATATTATTATCATTATTGATATTTGTTTTCAGCAAACTGAATTCTGTCCTTACTGACCAAACTGTACTTGTGCTGTAACTGAGCCTTGTAGAAGGAGAGGAAGAGTGCTGTGTAGATACAGTAATAGTGCATTATAAATACAATTCCCCTAACAGGAATAAATACATCTAATCTCTGACAAACAGCTTGGTCTGTGTCCGTATTATTTTTAAACACTGTGTAAGAAAGGAAGATCACCCAGAACAGGAAAATGCTGTTTTTAGCAACACTAAAGATGCACTCACTTTCTATACTGCTGCTGGAGATGTACTTCTAGCTTCCTCAATATATGGAAGGGTGATAACTGTTATAAAGTTTTTTTGTAACTGCAACATTATTATATAACAACAGAGGGATTATCATAGACTGTTCAGAGTTCTGTATGTGTTGTTCAAGTGGGGAGAGGTGTAAATTAAAGCAAAACAACACCTAGAAGAATGGACATTTAAACAAAATATATATTGTACAGTGTGTAGTTCCACAGAGCAAACATCATATTTAGTTTTTTTTGTAATTTCCTGAATCTGATGCACTTTAGAATTTGAAGCATTAATTCTACTAATGTAAATATACAGGAGAGATTAGCTCAAACATTTTATCGTGACACCAATCTTTCTTCTTTCTGCATTAATTTTTTTGGGCTTAGGCATTGTTTAATCCATAAATCATCCATAGCCAATTCATGCTACGGACGTTCTCAGAAAGCTGAAACCTAACCTGGTAGACACAATGTGAAAGGTGGAATTAACTTCACTATGAAGGAGGCATCAGTACATCACAGGGCACACAGGCATAACTTAGAAACACCAATTAACATGGTGAGAGGAAAAAATCTACAAGACAATGAAGGACCATGCAAACTCTATACTACAGGTATCCCAGTCTGGATATCAGGTCCCAAGAGCTGTACGGCAGCAGTGCTAACTACCATATCCACAGTTCCAAATACTACCACAATTTTGAAAAGTTATTTGGACAAGGAAAACTAAAGCTTTCTGATAGAGCAAAAACATTTCCAGTTTAACTAAAAGTAACCCCTTAGGTCACATGTTCTAGGATGATATTTCTTTTTGGTCATGTATATTCTTTTTTTCATATATTAACAGTAGTCTTTTATATCAACGCAGCAATGGAAACTTTTCTGAGCAAAACTGCTGAAGTGCATTTAAGAGAAGATGTGGGTTTGCTCTCAAACATAATATCCTGCCTCAAAGCGAGTTTCCCTGAAGTGCTTTCATCTCACTTCCATTCACAATGCCAGCTGTGCCAGGCTACTTTGGCAGCCAGAGTGCCAGAGTGCTCTTGAGGTGATGGAGCAGTCCAAGCTCCCTCCAGCTGTACCGAGATTCCCTTGTCTAACCCCTGCACGTGGACGAGCACAGCAACTGTCAGACTCCCATCTCATACACACAGCGTCTGAACATCCACCAAAGAGCACCTCAGCACAAAGTACCGTCTTTCCTTAGTTCCTCACTGTTAACAACGTGTGCACTTCCCCATTGTCGCAGCCAGAACACTGCTGGGAACAGCAGGCAGGAAGGACAGAATGCCAGCAAATTCCTCAGTGAAAGACCTCCCTTGTTCTTCTGCTCTTCTCACATTAATTCCAGTTTGCCCTGTCCTGCCTTAAGTGCGACAGCCTGACTGCACATAACTAATATTTGTAACTTATGAGAAAATTCAAAAAATACAAAACAGGAAAAAACAGGTCGTACCCTGAGTCACTGACAGCATACAAAGATTTTTAGGAAAAGCCCGAAAACTTAAAAAAAACTTTAAACCACATTCAGCACCACGAACAGCTGATTTTCACACTTACCCCTGTGAGTCAGTATTTTATGCCATCAGTTACTAAAGGCTGATTTCACCATGATGAAAGCAAATCACTTTAAATCCTCTTTGAATGTCAGTGATGCAGAAGGCACGCACAGTGCAACAACTTTTGAAACTCTTTGTCTTGCTTTTCCTGGCCCTGGAATGACTGCTCATTGAAAATCCTTGGGAAAAACTGACCCTTGTGAAGAATGAACGTCAGCCTAAGCAGTGTCCCGTGCGAAGGCAGCCGAGGGTGAGGGTCTGGCAGAGGGACAGGCCCCTTGGAGGGGGGCAAGCAGGCCCGGGAGAAACAGACTCGGAGCAGGCAGACTGCAGGGCCGGATCTCTCTCCCAGCCCCTCCCCACAGCTCCTCCAGAGGGATAGGGCAGCGCCGGTGACTGACAGGCAGCAAGTGCTCCAAAGGCATCTGCTCTGGCTCCTGAGGCCTCCGCAGGCAGAGGGAGCAGGAGTGAGAGAGAGTGGGCGAGAGAGTGCGAGTGGAAACTGAGAGAGAAAGTGCAAGGGAGAGGGGAGGGATAGTAAAGGGACCGGACACATGGCAAGATAGAAACAAGAAGGGAGAGGGGCTGACAGAGAAAACAAGGAGAGGAAGAGAGGGAGGCAGAGAGAGAACAGACGCACAACATCCTTATGGGCACAATGATACTCAAGCATACGGGCCCACTAAGAGCAACAACCTCAGGACTTTGCATTGTTATCGAGCTGTTCCTTTAGAGACTAATTAAAGACAGACACCGACAGACATAGAGCTAAACACTGCGTTTTACAAGGAAGCTTTCAGAGAAGACATGTGATTTTCAAAACTGTAAATACTTGTGAAAGGTCTCGGCATCAGCTAAGAACAGCCCAGGGCATGTGTCTCCATGGCCAAAACAATTTCAGGGACTTCCACTACACTTCTAAAAATTGACATTCCGATCTGCAAAATATTGATTGAAATACATCCACGTGACCTGTCTAAGGTATTCTTAAACGTGCTTCCCTAAATAACAATCTCCACAAAGGAAAAGTCAAACACCAAAGCACAGCCATAATACTGTACATTCTGGGAAACCAGGAAAAGAGGCTTGAGGTAATGGCTCACCTAAACTGCTGTATAACCTTCTTACTGAATCTCACTCTTCTACCACAATGCTAAGCCATTGCGGGAGAGGGGGGTCACTGGTCTTAAGGCAAGAGCACCCTCTAATGGTGAACCAACAAACACCACTTTACAATAACCTTTCCTGCCTCAGTTCAGGGTTTTAATTGAACCAAAACCAATTATTACTTTAAAATCACTGCATTTAAAGCATTCATAAGTTACATGAGAATAAGACACTCAACCTAAGAAAATAACGGGAAATATTCATTGGCCATCATGAAACAAACTATGCACATAAAACTATGCAATTTGTTAGCCCTTGGAAAACTAAGATTGATATCTGCTACCTGATTGATATCTGATATCTAGGTAATATGAGGCTGAATTCCATAGCCACCCTCATGAGTTAAAATCCAGTTTCATGCCATTTTATCTAGTTAGATTTTATTGCTCTGTACATGTGCCAATGTACAGTATGTTAATTTAATCCTGTAAGAAAACAAACCTCAGCTGGACTAAACTCAAAATAAACTTCAATAAACTTCAGGACCCAAGAAAGGATATTTTAAAAGAACTACCACAAGTATGAGCAATGACAATATCTGCAATCCCTGAAATTTCAATGTGGTGTTAGTTTCTGTGCTATTAAAGTGACAAAAACTGAAACTATTTCTCACATTCTTTCTGGATCTGTATTTACTTGTAATTATTTATTTGTCAGTGGCAATACACAATTTCCACATTCCTAACTAGTTTAGATACATTTTATATATAATTTAGATCCAATTTAATTAACATCAGCAGTCTACTTGGAAATCTGGAAAAAGATGCAAGCAGCAATATGCATTTTACCACCTATAACTCAAAATTTGCAATTAGTTTTATCATTTTCTCGTTCATTAACAGTCCTAGTGCTTTGCCTGATAAGTGTGTCATGTTTCACAGTTTTACAGGAATTATTCAGCTTCCTGTCGATTCAGTGTCAAAAATATATACTGTATTTTTTTACAAGGCGCCCTTGTATTCAACACCTACATGTGTTTCCCACAGGGAAACTAAAACTACACAGCACTGATGTAAAAACTCAGTCAAATAGATGTTAATATTTGTTTTTCTTTAAAGTGTAAATCAAACAACATTTTTAGAAGTTTTTAAAGAAAATGTTTCTCATGTCCTTGAGGAAGCATGGGCATACAAATAATATTTTTAACATTTAAATAGTTTTGATGTTTTGATCTGGAACTGTAATAGGTATACAACAGTGGTTTTCAATCTTGGTCCTGCTTACCACATACCTGCTGGTTTTCATTCCGTTCCACCTTCATTAGATAACTGAAGCCTTTCTTGATCTAAGAAGTTCCTTCAATTTAACATTTGCATTTTGTTTCTAGACATATGTTTGGGATCTTATCTCACTTATAGACTTTATTTCACTTGCCGTGGGAAGTGCCTACAGTTAACCTTGCCAAGTGTTTACATGTTCCTCACTACAGTGAGTTCATAGGGTGCTGAAGACCTGTTGTCTGTGCCAACAGGCAGCAGTACCAACCTCAAAAACATGCCTGGGCAGCTTGTTCCAGGCTCCCAAAATCCACTGGGTATGTAACATTCCTGTACTTCATTGTGTTATTAAAATTTTAGGGAAATTTTTTAGAGTGGTGAGTTTAGCATGGCTGTATAAATGCTGTGAATATTTTGCCTGCCTGTTTCTGTATCTGCTGTTTCAGACAGCCACACAATTTAGCCAGCTTGGCTGCAGGAGGACGAGCTATCCAAGAATATGGAGAACACTAAGCACGGTGGTACTGGAGAAGTGGCCTTTACAAGTAACTAGTTTTGAATCCAGATTTCTAAAATGGCATACATTAATAAAACCTGATTCTCAGCTATAACAATTAAAGGACTAAAACAAAAAAAAGTTAATCAATTGGATACAGCACCTTTAACACACTGTTTAAATACTACAGTGACTTTTCCCAACACAACAAAATGTGTGTCTATGTGGAAAGCAGCAACAGCCCAAGGGGGGAACATTTTATTGCCTTTTGTCAGTCCCTATTCATCCCACACCCCACGTCACACATGGTTCAATATGAATTAGTCTATTCTTGCCTAAAGAGCACAAGTTCATTTTATCGTGCAGAGACATAGTAAATATTTTAGACCTTTTGTGTAATAGTGGCAATAAATATTAATTAACCCCTAAGGAATAACGGAAGCCAGTGAAATATGGACTGCAAGTTTTTTGCATATCTATTAAACTGAATTTCTTTAATCAATAAAGTGATTGGCTGAGATGTTCAAAGCACCATTACCAGGCATTACTATAATGGGTGAAGAGGACTCCACCAGGAGAATCCCTTGTTTTTTCAGCTATCCAATAGCACCTTTTTCCTTTCATGATATCGCATGGGTTCACTTGTGTAGCTAATTGTAAAACAAATATTTACAGTCAAATAAAAATGTTTTCAGTGAATTTCATACATTTAACTCTTCCTGCAGGACAATGTTTAATATACATTCTAAAAATGCTGCTAAATACATTATGGAATAAAAATACTTAGTGAATGCCTTAGTCTTTTTGTCTTTCATAACTACCCTTTCTTTATATCACACAGTTTATGGGATGATGAGAACACAATGAAGGTGTACCTGAGTGCTGCACCATCCATCCTGTCCTGCAGCCCAGACAGAAATGCAGAGTGTCCACACTCCTGCGGGACATCTGGCGTAGATTCTTTACCTGTCAGAGTCTGGTCGCTATTTCTGTTTGACATGAGTGGGCTCTCAGTGAGTTCATGTGGAGGTGCAACAGACGGAGTCAGAGTTGTAACATTCTCCTGCTCCATACAGTTTTGTTCCCTCTCCAGGTGTTTATCAGAGTGGCAGGATTCTGTGTGTGCTGCCTCTTCAACTCCATCTCCCTGGAGCCCAAGAGGTGATAGTTTACTGGCAGCAGAGAGGTTCTTCTCACCAGCAGGAAGGCCCAGAGACAATTGGGTTTCATCTTGGACCAGGGTCTCTATGAGCCTTGGCAAGTCAGAGTTGTTTGATACATCAGAACTTAAAGGGACAGCTTCACTGTCTCCTGCAGAATCTGTGAGCTGCTTCTCTTGCTTGCTAATAATATGACTCTCTGAACCCTGTTCCAGGCCATCTTTTTCACTGGTAACATCCTGCTGTTTTTCAGGAATTGAGATACTATGCGAGACTCTCTCCGGCAGTTGAAACACTTGATCCATTGTGTCCTGTGAGATGATAAGGTCTTGTGCATTAACTTCAGGGAATGGGGTCATACTAATCGCTGTGCAGGCTTTCTGCTTCTCGGTGTCCTTAGTGCTCACTGTTTTAAGTTGTGCATCTTCCTCACTGGACAGTTTGTCTTTGAACAAGCTAGTTTCAGATGCAGCCCCTGTCAGTTTGCTTTCAGGTGGCCAATGAGAGTCATCTTTCACCTCTGATTGACTGCTATCCTGAGCCTCCATACATGGAAACTCACTATTTTCAGGAGTAGATTGGATCAATCTGGCGGCTTCATGATATGGGAAGCTGTGTTGTTCAGTATTATCAACTGTCTCTACAAGGAAAGGTGTAGCTTGACATATATGTGGGAAACTGTTCATAGAATGACTAGAGTCTTGAGTTTCTGCTGATGTTCCTGGAATAACGAGAGCCTCTGGAGGCGGCATCCTTCCCCCACCATCATTCAAGCTTTCCTTACTTCCCTGAATTGTGGAGGTACTTTCCAGCAGACACTGCGGAACCACAAGACATTCCAAATCCACTTGCACTGGAGAAAGTGTGTCAGGAAATTCAGAAGAAAGCTGAACAGACTCACTGGCATTAAGCATTGCTGTAGATCTGATCTCCACATCTGTTTCCTCTTTGACAATTTCCTGTGCATCAACACAGATGCTCCCATTCCTTCTTTGTGTTTGCACTAAGTCTTTTGAACTGTATTGTGAGCTGTTACTGTTTTTAAAAAGGCCACTTGGGTCTTCAAGAGAACCAGTTTTCTGTATGTCTCCAGTATTGTCTAGAGTGTATTGTGTATTGTCTATCACAGATATTTCATGAGAATACCCTAAACCCTGCTGCTTTTCATCACTGAAAACTGACAATGGTATTTTCTCACACTCTTGGTCTTGGTTTAATATGACAGGATCTGCAGTTTGAAGTTGGAACTCACAACTTTTCTCTTCAAGTTTGTGGACAAAGCTTCCAGCTTTCAGCTCCTCCTCTGTAGGATATGTCAGCAGAGCTGAAACATTGAAGTCTGAACTGAGTTTTATGTCCTCTGACACACTACTGTATCCTCCTGAAATAGCTTCTTTGGCAGCAGGGGAACCAATGTGAACACTCTCTTTAGTGTCATTAGCAAAGCTTAAAGAAAGCATTTCCTTTCCTACTTGACTGGCCTGAACAGATTCAAGAACAGTGAATTGTACATTAACATTCTGCTGTGCAATTTGGATTTTACAGGATTGCAACTCTCTGCTACATTCATTTGATTCTGAGTCTGTTTGTTTAGCAACATATCCGAATTCCAATAAAGTCTCATGTTGCTTTGAAACCTCCAGGCAGTCTTGCCTATCTTGTAAATTCAGCAGTACCTCTGAGATGGAAATGTCACCTTGATTGTTGTCATCATGAACATCTTCTGACTCAATATGTTCACAAAGGCTTTGACCACATTCATTCTCTTTTGTGTCATACTTTAATGCCAGAATCCTCTCTTGTAATTCTATGTTTTCAGTGAGAGGCTGGAGGTCAGATTGATTTTTCCTTGCCACTGACCACAGATCCTTCTCCAGTTCAAGGCTACTGACATCAAACAATTGATCATTCCTAGATGATATAGGTTTTGCATACAGCATTATGGTGTCACTAGATTCCAAATTGTTATCTGATAGAGGAGATGACTCATTGGAGGCAATGGATTGCCCGCTGAAAAAAGAAGCTGTTTCATTTTCAGCAGATGAACTGATGTTGTTCTGAAGCTGGTGTGAAATGATTTGGACTGGGGGATGACTGGTTTTGCTCTCAGCTGGGGTTTCTTCAGCACTGACTTTGATTGTTTCAGAAGCACCACTTTTAATAGTTATGGCTGGTTGAGCTGATTCTGATTCAACATCAGGGGTTTGGAAATCAGTGTTCTCTCCTGAATTGTGAGTTTTATATGCCTCCAGTTGTCCATTGCTTGATATTTTGAGACTGATTGTGGGATAGGCAGGTTCACAGACACTTTTCAGATTCTCTGAAGGGACACCTTTAGAAAAATGAGGGAATTCCTTCTTATCATCTAAGCTGGGATGTGCCTCATATTTTGACAAAGCTGGAGAAGTGCTGTCCTTTTGCAATACATCCTCTTCATTACTTCTGGCCAGGGTTTCTGCATGCATTTCAGTAGTCTTAGCTGGAATCCATATACTGCTACTCAATGGGATGGTGTCACTCCTAGAGTCTCCTTTAACAGCAACACAATGTTCTGTCTCGTCTGTAGTGCTTTTGCCATCATCATTTAAAAAGGCCAGGACTTGCTGGTGTTGATCTTGACTACATTGAATATTTTGACAAGGAAGGGTTTCAAGCACACCATCATTTAAAATGGCATCATTTTCAGCCACAGCATTAAAAGAGACTGGTGTTGAATTGCTCATTTTATCACCTGTGCTTAATGACGCAAATAGTGATAAAAGGGGAGCAGAAGTGTGTAGACCGGAGGTGCCCTCCTGCATTTCCAATGATTTCTGCATCGAAGTGCTCTGGGTTCTGTTGTCATTCCCTGTTCCTGAAGATAGCTGTGTTGTGAAACTGCTCTCAATCCTGTCTAGGGTTTCACTTAAGCACGTGTCATATGCAGACAATTTGGGAGCCTCGGCAGCAGTTAAATATAACACAGAGAGTTCCGTTTCAGCCTTGGCCAAGTTTGGCTCACAGACGTTTCCCAGCATTTCATGTGAACATGTTTCTTGCTGCCTATTACTGTCAACTAATCCCACTGAACTCTGCCTGATCAGATTTGATTCCATTTGTACCTCTGAAGAAAAGAGCTGTGTCCCATTCTGTGACTTATTCACATTCCTTTCACCGGTATTTATTTCTTTCTGCTTGACCATGCATGCTGTATTTACACCTCCCTGGGGCTCATTACTCATTTCAACAATTGTGTCTGAATGTTTTTTGTTAGTTCCTGTAGTGACCACTGGCAGAGTATCTACGGCATTCCCTTCTACCCTTTTACCAGGCTGAGATGGATACATGGATTCAATCTTACCGTCTGGCGATTTCTCAGATGAAAGCTTTACTTGATTTGGGACCATTCCTGGCCCGGATAATGACACCCGTTCTGGTTCAGTCTTCGGTTCTTCTTTGTTAACATTTGAGCATAGTCCTTTTTGTTCAGTTTTTCCGTTAACCAATTTCTCTGCTGTTAGCAGTACTTTTTTATCACTATAAAGTTCATGATAGTTAAAGCTGCTTTCACAGACTGGGTGGTGCAAGTATTCATGGACAGTTAGCGGTGGTAATGAGGCACTACCTGGAATAGAAGAGGGGTCTTTGCTGTTTGTCGCAAGGCTTTCTGCATCAGTTGCAACAGTCCTTTTGAAAGAGTCATTTACACCACATTCCTGCATGTTTTCCTGATTTTTTGTAGAGTATTCTGTCTGAGAACTCGATTCCAAAGACTTCTGTGTTTCAGGATCAGCAGTTTCAAAAGGGGTAGTCAGAAGCATGTGCTCCTGTTGTGGCAGTCCTAGATCTTCTCTTTCTCTCTGGCCTTCTGTGAGTTGGTGAGTTTCAAGATACTGAGGAAACTCAAGTCCATGTTTGTGGCTGTCTTCAAAAAAGCTTGTAGATGCCCTTTGATTTTCCACTATCTTGGAGGTTGATGCCAGTCCTGAGGAAATATTGTCTTGATTGAGACCTGTCTGAGCACTAACGCTAATGCTCATGTCCGCAGCAAGATGGATAGTCTGAGATCCCGTAGCAGCTGCTCTAGGAGCAGGAGGAGGCAGAAATTGGGCAGGCTCAGTGCTTGCGTTCTTTTCAAAGTGCTTTAATGGCTCTTTCTGTAATTTTTCCTCGGCATCGCAAGTATCATTTCCAAAACCTGGCACAAGAAGATTTGCTCGGAAAGGAGTCGCATCACAAGCATTCTGTGGGCGTACTTTGTCTGTGCAGCTCTGGGGATGCACAGCTCCTTTAACAGAGTCGCTTGACAAAGTGTCAAGATAATCTGATGGGACTGCATCGCCTGTAGGTGTGGAATCATTCTGTTCTCGGGTGAGGTCATCTACACGCTCTGCACTTTCTATTTCTGATATCACACTGTCAGCAGCTCCTAGGCCTTTGCAGAAACTCACATCTTCTCTGTCTTCTTTACTACCAGTTTTGTTCATTTCTCTTTTTTCTATAATATCTGCATTTGGATTTTTAACGCCAAAACTTACATTTTGTGAATGTAACCCAGGAAAAAATCCTTCTGTTTTTGATTCCATGCCTGAGGTGTACTCTGCAGCATATGTGCAAGCAGCAGTTCCTGAAGTGTTTATCTGTGCGCTATTTTCTTCTTCTTTAGCAGATGCTTGTTGTAGTTTTACACTATAACTCAGGTGCACATCTGCTTCTGTTGTGGATGCTGAGAACACAGTTAGCTCCTCTGTAGCTGAAAGTGATCCAATTACTTCACAACTCAATAAAGCGTTTAAGGATTTAGCTGTAAACTCAGTGTTGAATTCAGATTTCCCCTGTGTGCCTTTACACTCTCTGTGCTCTGTTCCAGTTTCAGATGAATTGCCATTCTCATTTTCCAGCACCCAGGAGATTCCTCCTTCCTCCTTCTTAATTTCTGAAACTTCAGGGCTAGTTGCTGGTAACACCTCTTCAAATAAATTTGGTTCCACCAATCCTCTTTGACAAAGGCTATTCCCACTATCTGCGTTTTCACTGATAAAAGCCTGGTCATTCATGATCTGAGTCTTATCAATCAGGGCCTTGGTAGATGCCATGGTCACATATTTCCCATTTTCTGCACCCCCTGTTTCAGGGTGATTCAAGTTTAGGGTTTCACCTCCTAATATCGGGTTGCTCCAGCCATCTGTGCCTCTTGTTGCATCTGTCTGCTCGCTGTGCTGCAGAGTGGGCAGGACCAGGTCAGGTGCTCTCTCTTGAGCAGTAAGACGATCCCCATTCTCTGAAGCAGGAGGCGAGGAGCAGATGTTTGGCTGTCCCTTGCTGCTCAGCTGTTCATAGAAACCTAATGACTTTGTCAATGCTAGTGGCAAAGCTTCCTGAGCACAATCAGGGTCTTGGGAGTTAAACTCCGTCTGCCTTGTGTTTTTATCAGCTTTTTCTTCTTCTTTTTTGCACTCCTGTCCATCTTCCTTAGCAGCTGTGATGCCTGTTAAATATTCTTTGAAACTGGAAAAATTGGTCTCTCCCTCTTCCCTGGCAGTTGCTTTCACAAAGTCTTTCCCAGGGTCACCTTTATACAAATTTCCGTCTGCTGGAGGATGTGGAAAAACGCCGTCTTGACAGCCTGTTACAATCGTGATTTCCTCATCTGAGTCTTCAGGCAGTGGCACAGACATACATTTGTCTATCTCGTGCGAGAGCGTGGGATTAGGGGGACCAGGCATGAGGAGCAATCCCACTTGTGCTTCGCATTCCTGAAATGCCTCAGCCAGCTCTCTGTCCAGGAGAGCAGAGGGAGAGAGTGCAGGACTGCTGTTTGTGGAGGCAGGAGCTGGGCTTCTAGCGCTGTCTGTGATAGGGCTGCCAACAGTGGAAATTAATTTAAATGCATTAGAATGTGCCACGACTGCTGAATAATAACAATGGCCACTCTGCATTGCGTATCCATGCTGTGAGGAGCAAAAAATAGAAAACAGTGCACAGCATGCATCCTCTGCACAAAGCCACCACCTTTCTAATCATATTCAAGCAGGAAAACCCAGTCTGGCTGACAACAGCACACACATACAGTACACTACAAAACAAAAAGCACAAACCAAATACACTGAAGCAAAAGAGACTGTATCTCTTCACTTGGCAAATTTGTACCCATGATTAATTTCATTATATGTGAGGAGAAGTGCTCCAAGAATATTGCTGGAATACTATTGCAGGGATCTTGCTCTATTTTATACCACATACAAGATTCTCCTTCATCAGATTATTATAAGCAGTTTCTGTGGAGCCAAAAACATTTGTATTTTAGATACAAAAAACATAACTGTTTGTTCAAAGGAGTTTAGCTGCATCCTTTATTGGAGTATATTATTTAAAATATTTTGTATTAAAAACATTTAAGTCTAAATTAAATCAAGTCTCAGAGAATTAAACAAGAAATGAAAATGTGTTTATAACGGTCCTTGCATTTTACTTAACAAAAACAAAAATGACACCTAAACACCAGGGTTAGAAAAAACACTGCATGCTCTGGAACAGTTTACACTCACAGCACAAACTTTGCCCTCAGAGATACGTGAATATTATTAACCTTGCCAGTCTGCATACTTTGATATAAGGCACACCCTTCAAAAAAGAACAAGATCTGAAGGTAATAAAATCTAGAGCTTTCTACAGACTGCCAGCCTTTCAACACATTCTGAGCTGAGCATGAATAACAAAACCACCCATAATACAAGCAAATCAAGGCGTGTGATGCAAGTTACAACATGCTGCATCATTTATCTGAATACCTCACTTTCCTGAGATCAGATAATATATTAGAGAGGTGAAGCATCAAGAAACCATATCGTATTCTATGTGTACAAAATGATTCATTGATAACCTAAATATTTTACTAGGAGGAAAACAATTCCCTTTTGCATTAAATATTCCTCTGTAGTTCCTGGTCTTCATTGTTTAAGTCACAAAAGACTTACAAAACATTGCTTTGTTTGTCATCAGAAGGCGGTCATTGAAACAGATCTAACAGAATGCTTTTTATAAAATAAGCTGTGAAGCTCATGGATTGAATGCAGCATTATGGAGTGCCCTCCCATTCTCAGACTCCCTCTGATCTCTTTTCCTCTTTTCATAGAGAACAACACAATATTTACACAGATTCCACTTTCTGCCAGGAAATATTAATCTGTTTCAATCACAACTTCTATCTTGAAGGGTCCAGGCACTCGCTGGTGACTTTGCACTCATCAAAGGACTATTTTTTTTTGTTTTGCCATACCTTGACCAAGCTTCAGTCCCATGCATTCCTTTTAATTTATAATCAAAAATGTATAGTTCACTTAATGTACGATGAGAAAATGCAGGTGACATACTGAGCGAAGACTGATGTCTTTAACGCAAGCATTGTTTTTCTGTTTTATATTACATGTGGATGATGAGGCTTTGAAAGACAGAGAGAATTATCACCAACAGCCATATCACCCTGCAACTCACAACTGGCAATCCACTAAAGCTCAGCAAGTGTGAGCCTGGGCAGTACCTGGATGGGAGACCACCTGGAAAAGCTAGAGTGCTGGAAGAGGTGTTAGACGGGCCAGTAGGGGGTCAGGAACACTATAATATAAAAACGTGTGTCCTACGGATGAGACATAAAACCATCCTGATTCTCTGTGGTCATTAAAAATGCCAGGGTGTTTCTTGAAAAGAGTAGAGGTGTAACCCTGGTGTCCTGGCCAAATTTCCCACTGGCCTTTACCAATCATGGACCCCTAATAATTCCCATCTATGAACTGGCTTCATCACTCTGTTTTCCTCCCCACTGATAGCTGATGTGTAGTGAAAGTACTGGTGAACTATGGCTGTCATCACATCACCCAGGTGGGGCTGCACATTGGTGGTGGTGGAGGGGAGTCCCCATTACTTGTAAAGCACTTTGAGTGGAGTGTCCAGAAAAGCTTTATATAAGTGTAAGAAATTATTAAGTTATAAAATTATAACTTAATAATTTTATTAAGTTAATCATTGTCACATGCTGCACACACACACAGCAGACAAACTACCTCATAAAAGACAAGACAAACAGGTCGTGTTCTCTCAGATGCTCACAATGAATCAATGAAACAGGACGCATGGGCTCTGGAGATGACAGGCCTCAGAAAACAACTCAAGCAAACACACTGTTAAAAGCTCTGAAGGAATATCCACTGCTGAGAATGCCTCATTCCTTTTTTATGGTGTGATGATTTGGGACTACAGTTACAGCTGTCATGATCTCTGAATGAGCTACATAAAAACAATGCGTTTCACAACATCAAGTTGTGCTGCACATGCATCAGAGACACACTGCAAACCATCTGCCCATACTCAGACACATACACTGGGCACTCTCCCACACTGCAGTACCTCTGTTGTAACCCCAGCACAGGAGGGCGCAAGTCCTCATGTTGCTGAAGCCCAGCCAGCAGGGGGTTAGCAGCACTGAGTGTGCCAGCTGTCACTGGCTCATTCTTCATCCCCCTACTGTCCACTGACCCTGTCTCTGCTGCAGCACTGTCACACACACATAACAGTTACTCACAAAGTGACCTCAGCTCAGTAACACTACACACTTCTGTAGCCTAATGTGTCTTTACTTCTGTTTCATTTCATTACTTCGTTTTCAGTCTTTACTTCTATTTTGTTCATAAAAAGTTTGAAATGAGATGGGGCAAACAATAAAATGAAAATATAAAGATCTGTGAAATGCTTCGCTATGCTACAGCAACAACTAGTTTCTTGTAAAGTGAATAAGATAAGATCACTTTTTTGGCCATATACAATTTCTTGGAGTAGGAATTTGTCTCTTCTCATACCCCAACTTTGCTCTCCATGAGACACACAGACAGGGAGAGAAGCTTGGGGCCAGAGCACAAGGTCAGCCATTTACTGTACACAGCGCCCCTGGAGCGGTTGGGGTTAAGGGCCTTGCTCAGAGGCCCAACAGAATGGGATTCCTCTGCCGGCCACAGGATACAAACCAGCAACCTTCCAGCCACAGGTGCAGATCCTTAGCCACAGAACCACCGCAACACCCAGTGGAACATAATGTCTTAATGTTCAATAGATCAGTAAGAGCAAGAACTAGAGCAGTATTAATGTAAAGAGATGGACTATGCTGTGTCTTAGCATTGTGTGGCAGCTGAGCTGAGTGCAAATCTCTGCACATCAAGAGAAAAGCCAGGGCAGGACAGAGAGTTCAAACACAGACATATTCCAATCCCTCAGCAACTTCAGGTCAGAGATCAACTGGAAAAAAACCTAAACCGAGCTGTCTTAGTGCAGAAGTAAATTCAAAGGCGTCAACTGTTTTGTTTCCCCAAGTGCAACCCTCATACCAATCCACTGAGAGTATGAGAAAGTCCCTGTCTGACATCAGTGTCCCATGAAGGCAGACTTGCCCTTAATGCCAGAAGTTTGAACTTCCCTCCTCTCTCCCCCCAAAAAATTGGAAAGTTCCTTGGGGATAAACTGAGTCTCTTCATGGGAAAAGATTAAGGACTGGTCTTTATTATGGAAATTTCACTTTGAATGTGGTATGAAAAACAATCTTTTACTTTAGGTTTCAGCAAAATTTTGGCCTCATTGTTTGAGTTCTTACTTGACTGAATTACAGAATAGACAGAATTACAGAAGAGTCAGTAAAGTCATCAGGCTTTTTCTTTATGAGATAAATTATTTCTGTGCAGAATGTAATGAGGAGTAATGAAAGAAAGAAAAAGTTCAGTGCTTGTTGATGAAGTAAACAGGAGACATAAAAGGACATGTTTTTTGCAACCAAAGGTTTTGTCTACATTGTCAGCAAACAATGGCAAGTTGAATGGCTTGTCAATTAAAGCACTTTCTTTTTGCTTTTTAAGAAACCTGGTCATGAGAGACTTCCTAGCCACTCTCCCTCATGTGACCAGTGCAGTAGGTCTCAACTCCAGGGCTGCAGTCGGTTAGTGAGAGCTCCTCAATATCATACTTTATTATCAGGCTCAGGTGTGTGGTTAGCTCACTACAGTATCAAAATGGGGCTATCATTATTTTTCTTCTATTTTTGTTGCTTCGTGGAGTCTTCTAGTTATTGCTAGTGTTATTAATTTTTCTACAGTGTTCAAACTGCTGAGAGCCTGCACAAAGCTCCCTCTCGGGAGAATTGTTCTACCATAATACTACTGCTGCACTTCCTGGGACAGACAGCATTTCAGGGACCAGTCCTCTGAGAACATTCAACTTTACAATTTGTTAATACAATAGTGATATCTGAAAGCTGCCAAATAAATATAATTCTTGCCAGCCTGAAGGTAAAGAGTGGCTTAGCTCTACTGGATTTTACTGAAAGGTAAAGGTAAACCAGTGCTTCAGCCACTCAATGGGCCAGATCTCGTCCTGGTTTCTGTAATAGCGGTTTCTGTAAGCGGTCTACAGAGCATGTTATCCTTCCTGGATGGGACGCCAGCCCATCAGAGGGATTAGCCCCCATCAATCCTAATCCTCATTTATACACCTGGTAGGACTGGAGCAAGTCGCTCAATGGTACAGAAGTGTCTGCAGCAGGGACTTAAACCCACAACTCCTCAGTTATGAATGAAAAGCCTTACCCACCCACTATTTAATCGCAATCTAAAACATTAATGAAATACATTCTTTCTTTTGCAAAATGTGCAGTCTTTGGGAAACCTATATGAAAGGGCACTATGTTTTAGTGGATCTCTCATTCTTAACATGATATTATTAAGTCCTTTTTCTCTTATGCAGAAACTATCTTGCTATCCTAATGCATTAGGTAAGCAGATCTTATTCCTCTCCTATAGTGAACTAAACTCATCTGTGATTCATGACTGCTGATATATTTCACAGTCCTGTAGTACAGCCTGCTGAATAACCATGTATATGAACTGCAGCGAAAGGCAATTCAACATGTGATTCAATTATAAGTAAAAATGTAACAGGCAATCTTACTTTACACAGTTAATTAAAAAATGTGTTTATAAAGCAAACGAATTATGACATAATAAATAAACAAAATAATATTTAGAGACCATCGCAGATCAGGAAACTAAGAAATCAAGTGAAATTCATATATAATTCTGGAAAACGCTCATAAATGAGTAATGAAACACACTCAGCATAAAACCAAACAGGCAGAAGGAGTCCTGAGAGAAATTACAGACTAGTGTCCTACCTCACAGGCTGTGTGCTGTCCCAGGGGTAGAATTCAGTGCGCTGCTCTGTCGCAAGGAGGAGTGAGTCTGCCGAAACCGGGGTCCTCTCAGGCTCGCTGATCTGTGGGATATCCTGTGCCTCGTGTCCCAGCTGTGTGGGGGGAGATCCAACTTGGCTCCCCCTGTTGTCTTCTGTCCCTCTCTGCTCTATAACACTATCACTCTCACTCTGGACATGAGGGTTGGGGGTGACCTGAGCAATGAGACAACACAAGCATTGCAGTCAGAGGGTGGTCTACATCCAGTGATCCAGTCTGTAGCTGGACTGTGAGTAAATATCTGGAATTTAAATTTTATTTCCAAGATATGGCAAACTGCCGTGTTCAAGACAGACTATCAGCACAGAGCAATTAAATCCCACTAAGTTGGCACTTTTGGGGACTGCAGTACCAAGGTACATCAGCATGCCAGAGTCCATCAGTCCTTCACATCATATTCCTCCAGATAGCAACAAAATGACGTGCAGGACTAAAACTCATATTGATGAAACCTAGTGCTTTTCAAATGAATTGCACTATTCATGTATCTGAACCTATCACTGACTTAGCGACAGAGATCTAGTCTGTTCCTGTTTAAAACCTGAAAACAAAGTCTTGCAAATGAATGGACAGACTTTACTGTTTCATCTCAGATTACAACTGAATGACATCAGCGCACTTAGGGTGTCCCAGTGCCATTAAGCATTTGCCATGAAACATTGGATACTCTGTCAACACTGCAGGGCAGTGACATAAAATCATAAATTAAAATGACACTTATTAAAAAGCCTAAATACAGGCGGACAATACAAAACCATGCCTGGATGCATACAAAACAAACAGGGTACTGAGTTATAACTATGCAGATACATTATGGCAGAACAAACAAAACACAGAGTCTGTATTCCTCCATTGAACAGGCTGTGGTGTCACGTTTCATCTAAGCTGTCAGAAAATAGGCCACTGTTAAAACTGTCTCTCTGTGTTCTGCCTATGTGAGTCATGAAAGCTTGTGCTTCTGGTTTAGCTGTCTGTGTTGCAGTCCTGTAGAGAAGGGAATGAGGGGAACATCTACCGATACATGATACAAATCCACCTTATCTTGGAAGTAAGTGTGCAAAGCTCTCTTGGGGATTACTTAACATGAACTGAAAGGTGAACGAAGAAGAGGAATCTATATTAATCATTACATGTTATCAGACCTGTGGTTGAATCTTCAACCTTCTTGGTACATGTCTTGGAATAATACCCTTGTGGTTATATTATCTTTGTCTGAACTACTCTGGCTCTAAATTCTGACAATCAATGCAAGCTGACTGTCACAGAATAGGTGCTGGTGTGTCTGACTTAAAATAGACATTTGCACTCCCCCTTGGCCTGTAATACACCAAGACTCTGTTGGCTACCTCTCAATTCCAGAAAACCTCTGTCAGAGGCTACTGAATAATTTCAAGTTACATCATTTCCATCTGCTTTCTAAAAATATTGCCGATAACTACCCTGGATTAGAATAAAAAGATCAACAGACGCATTCTAAAATGTCATCACAGCAGATACTGTCTTGCTTTTAACGTCTAATGACCACTATATTGTATTTGCAGGCTTCCTAGAAATCAAAGACATGATTCCATTCAAAGTTTTTGAACTTATGAGAAAAGGCAACATGACCACCCAGAGAAACCCAGGCCTGAAGTGATTTACTTCATTGGAATATAAATAAATTAAATATGTCATTACAGGAGATTAAATTATGATAAGAACCTTCACGTAAAAACAGGGTTTAAAAAGTCTCTCATAGTAGGTGAATACTTCAGATTAATATCAGAAAAAAAGACATGGTTACACAAAATCCAAAGTATACCATGAAATCAACAGTGAAAGCTTCCAATTTGCATGCATTATAATAACTGTCACCTCACCGTCTTTTACCAGTCATCTCCTCTAAACATTAACAGCTAATTAAGCAGACCTAAACTATTCTGTCTGCTTACAGCTGTCCATCCCTAGCTACAGCAGTCACTGTGTTAGGATACAGCGAGAAAGGCAGCTGTTACCTACTCTGTGGAAAACTCTAGCTGGCCAGGATAAAGAGTCTGTGTTATGAAAAAAACTTTGCAGACTTACCTAGGTTTAGTTAAAGGATCCTGAAAAAACAAGACCTTCCAAAAACAATCAGTAGCTCCACAACCTACCCAGAAGGAAATCAGCGCTGCAGCAGATTGAGTTAGGTCATTTTAACTGGCAGTTACAACATGCCCTAGCATATTCTGTTACTTTCCTGGAATATTGATACAGCCCCCATACTTTCATTTCAGAGATGAAATATTTGTGTAGCTGGAATTGAAGCCTGGGCTCAGGCTTAGCCTTTTGAAATGGCCTTACCTTCACTGCCAAGTGAGTGAGCCAGCAAATACGGTACTGTAACTTCTCCGCAAACTCTTCAGAGAGTTGCTTGTCTCTCTTTCCCTCTCTCACTGCCACACTCTGGAGCTCAGCCACTTCCTGCACCAAGAAACGGCTATACTACAATCCCATTGCAGGTGAATTCTGGGAATTAGGCCAAAGGTCACCCCCATAGCGTCTAGGGATCAGGTTTCAGACGGGATTGCCAACCTGGTCAAACACAGCTGAGCGTGGAGGTCTGCATTTTCATGACACAGAGACGCTGCTTGCCTTACACACACACACACCAACTCTATGCAGCCCTATAACCCAGCTCCCTGCCACACACAGTAAGATATGACTGTAAAAGCGTTCCCTCCCTATCCTCTCTCATTTGCTTCTCAGTTAGTCAGGAACAACATAGAGATATCCACAGAGTTAACATCAATACACAGAAAAACAAAATACAGTAATCAAAACTTAGCCTATTTAGAAGATAAAGACTTGTGTGGTTCAACATTATTCATTCTTTTACAATATTGTGAATGTGCAGAAGGCATGTGTGAAAACCAAGAATTTCCTGGCAGCATCTGCATTTTTCAGGACACTCCTCCTTTCCAGAGCAAGTATAGAGAAAATAAGCATTGGCAGCTTGGCTTGGAGGGGATGGATCAGGAAGATGGGAATCTCTGCTTCACCCTCGTCCCAACCCACAATGCACTGCAACTGTATGTACTTCTAGCCATCTACTAGTTTTTTAATTAACGTAAATCCTCAAATTTAAGCAAGCAACAACACCCTCTCTAACATTTCTCTGGGCTGAGGTGTGACCTTTGAAAATAAGGCAGCAAGGCCAGCTAAAATAAAGGGTGTTCCCAAGAAGATGATTCTAACAAAAGTCATGTGATCAAAGGGTAGATGCCAAAGATGATGGAAATAACCCAAACCCCCAGCCACAACCCAGCACACTGCATGCCACTCTCTGTGTAGCAAAAGAGGGAAAAAACAGGGCTGAGTTCCACAAAACAGAGGGAGAGGGGGTTATCGGGGAACCCTGCTGGAACTCTTTGACAGCTGGACAAAGAGAGGTGTTTTTATATTACACATCAAACATGAACAAAGAGACAAAGCCTCAAATTATTTTTCTAATCTCTCAGCTTGTTCTTCCAGTGAATAGAAAGTTTCTAATTAGTTCAAGGGTCTTTAAGGTCTTTAAAGTCTGTACAGCAAAGAAAATGGGTCAAACCCCAGCTTCAGAAACTTTAAATTATAAATTTAAATAAATGTACTTAACGATGCCCTAGAATTGTTTAGTATGTTGGCAGCATATACAGTACATGACATCGTGAAAACAGATTTTCAGAACGTCCAGGAATGCCAAACACAACCAGCACAGCATTTGAGTGAAAATAATTAGAAACAAATAAGGGACTTGATGGAGACGTCAGCCTCAAATTAAATGCTGTGTGGGTTAACAGAAAGCCAGGTTCCACAGTCCCTAGCCATGCACAAAGCCACAGCCTCACAATAGCTGTACAATACCTTCCTCTCCAAGTCCTCATTAGGGGGAAATAAAACCACTGTTTCTGTGTTCGCACCTTCTGACTAAAAGAAAAGGCACAAATTAACACGACGGAATGGGAGTTCTGTCTGTGACTGTAGAAGGATGCAGTGGTAAAAAATGCTGTGACAAATACTCAACATTTACATTTTTGTAACATTAAAAACAGCTAAGTACAAAAAAAAAATCTGATTAAAATAGTCCAGAGTTGTATGTTGCAGATCAACTGCCAGAGGAGGAAAGGAATTCATTACTCAGGCAGCTGGTGACTTCCATGGAATTTCTTCCTATTTTTTTCCTCTTGATCAGCTGCTCACCTGAAAAATACCTAAAGACACAGATCTGCCCACAAATTACCCACTTAACTCCCTCCTTAAAGGGTCCTGAGACTACTTATAGTATTTTAATTTGCATTTCCTATGTTCACAGAACAAGAAAACTGATATTCCATGGTTTAAATGTGAAGATACGTTGGAATGTACAGTATAAGGAGTTTTAATTGTCTTTACAGATGACTATGTCACAAAAAATAAAACTATAGGACATCAATGGAAAAAATTAAACTTATAAAAAATACAGTCAATGGAGGAGGCATTTTTACTTTGTACCATGGAAATGGAAAATGGTTATTTATACAATGCAAGCAATGGTTGTGACGACAGCCGAGTAAAATAAATATTTGTAGAAAAGAAACAAAAACTGAACTTTTTGAAGCATTGTCAGATTCTTATCTGATCCATAACAAAATTTCCACTTTTAACAACGGGACTGTTTGTAGAATGTACAGTACCAACACTACTTTTTACTTACCTATTTCAACCTATAATATGTCCAAGGTTGGATAAAGATCGAGGTTCAGTGTTTCACAATCTTTAAATATTGTATATTCTAATCCAGACTCCCATAGCCAGCAATGCATAAACGCTGAAGAGTTCGTTTTAAATAGTATCAAACATCTTCTTAGACTGAGATCAGTTTTCCTGTAGTTTATTAGATTATGCAGCTGTTAGTAGTCTCATGCATGTTGTGCTTCTGTTAGCAGCGCTGAGTTAACTGAGCTAAAGCGACCTGTTTAAAGGGTCACCTACAGTATCTGCAAGCTCATGCACTTCTTGATTCCGAAGGGAGATTCCAGGAGACACCTACCCGCCTCTCCTCTGCGCTGCTCTCATTCCCCATCCTGTCAGGGCTGGAGCCCACTGACACGCACAACTTGTCAACTTATACCACAAGACTGTACGAAATGATCGCGTTTAACAAGTAGAACTGGGAAGACAAAATTACAAGTGGTTTTAAAAACAATAGCGAAGTGCTCAGAAAAAAATGCATAGATTTTAAATACATACAGAAGGTGGAACAGTTCAGAGCAGTTGTCATGAGTTCAGATTGAGGTTGCAGAACGTAACGGTTTTTCCAATGCTCTGTTTGACTGTGCTCCCCAGGCAGAGCAGAAAGATGTTTCCCAATAAGGAATTGGTCTCAGTGCAGGAGACAGGCTCTCTCTCCCTTGCCAGCTCTGAACAACACAGCTTTTTCTGCAACCAACAGTACAAGCCACAAGAGGTTCTGCTAAAACTTCCCTAGACAGACCACTTCTAGATGACTGTGTTAAGTTCTAGTGTCCAAAACCAAAAACCAAGACACATGGAGTTCATAGACATAGCTTAGAAAATAGCAACCAAACTTACCTCAACTACTCTAGAGATGAATATGAAACTACAGTAATGGCTGCATAAAAGTACTGCAGTGGAATCAATTGGGAAGGGGTAGGTTGCTTAGCTCTTGGCTATGGATTCAAGGTGCAGCCTTTTATGTGCCTTTCACTCAGGAAGACTATTAAATACTATTAAAACAGCAGTGTTTAAAGGGGCCGTTGGACAAAGGATTTGGACTGTACTCCAGCAGCCTGGGAGAGGAGGTAGAGTGTATCAGATACATCAAATTTCAGGCTAGCCCTCAACCTCATTCCAGGCATGATTGTCAGCGTGTCCTCTGGGTTCAGCACGTATGTAGCAGCCTGGAATCCTTTCCCTCATGTGAAAAAGCAGCCTCTCTTTTGATGCTAAACAGACCAGCTTTGAACTCTGTCAGGAGCTTCAAAAAATAATCCCAGCGTATTTTATGACAACTCAAAATGAGCAACACATGAAGAAGAGAAGGTAAACTAAAAGATTAAAACGCAACAGCTGTATGTTCACAAATTTTAAATGACTTGGGGTTCCACTTCAATAACATTGCAGACTTAGCCTGCCAAAATAAAGTCATCATTATAATTAAATGAATGCATTTTCAAACCACATGGTCTAAGTAAAGTCTAAAGCTCCCATAATGAAATATTTTATTGCTCAATTTCATCTTTACAAGCCACTGGTTTGAAACATTTATGCAGTTACATGTGTATAAGTGGTCCTTTGCAGCAAAACCATTTTTGTTATTCAGCTGAGAAAATATTATATAAAGGGATGGGATAAAGTTTGATTATTCAATGGAGAAGCATCCCTTTTTGCAAATATTTTATAGATGTATCTGTGTACAGTGTTATTAACCACCCAATTATCGCTTGGGCCCTGACTGCTCGTACTGTAGGTTTCTGGACCAGTCATAAAAAGGGTCAAATTAGTACAAGACTTTAAATTAGTCATAGAGGAACATGTAGTTCAGGTGGGTAGCTGCGTCAGCATGCGTAGGCTGCAAAGGAACAAGTAATAGGTTTATTCCATGCTGAAAAAAAGAAGAAAGAGAACACAACGTTTCGGCCGTGGAGCCTTCTTCAGGTGTGAGAGAGACAGGGCAGTAGGCAAAGGTAAAGTAGCGGGAGAACAAAGGTTGGGAGAGAGGAGGAGTGAGAGGCGGGAGCAGGGGACAGAAAGAGAGGCCAATCAAGAGGTGTGAAGTCAGAATGGGTGCAGAGAGGTGTGAAATGAAACTTCCAATGAATGGAGAAAATTTAAAAGAACAGTGTGATCCTAACTGCAGAATAATTTTAGTTTCGGTGGTCTTTCTGATGTATGAGTTCGGAAAACCGTCTTTAAAACACAGACGGAGAGATTAGTGTGGTCGTGGCCGTCAGAGGTGAAATGAGAAGAGGAACATGTTCTGCCTACATTTATACAGAAGGCTCCTTAGGAGGATAGTCTAAAATTAATTTATATGATATAGCTAAAATATTTCCGATGAGATCTTTGATTTATTTTTGTATTTAAAGTGTTTTTTATTTATTACACTAACTCCATACCCTTTTTTTTTTGTTTAGTTCTATCACATATTTTTATTTTCTGTGTTTATTTTTCCTTTGGTTAAATAATGTTATTTGAGGCAGTGCACCATGAAACTTTGATAAACAGCGCTAATATATTTAACTGTATTTGGCAGCCGACTGACCGACTGTGTGCAGTGTGGTAGGAAAGAGGAAGTTTGTCTTCTTTTGGTTGCCATAAACACAAGAACTCCTTTGCAGGATAATTTTTCTCAGTGTCGTTTTACAGTATGGTCAAAATGTTTGGCAGATGAAATCTCTCTCTTGAGAAATTAGAAAAACCACAGTCGTAAACTGAGATGCAGAGGAGGGAGGAAGAGAAGTTTCTACACATGCTGGTCAGATTGGGTGTGAGTGAAAAGTGACTGGGGGAGTTTATTAGCTCCCTGAAACTTAGAACGTCCTGAAGACAGACCTCAACCCCTAGCTAGCTCCTATCTATATGCTTTAGAGAAATGGCACAAAATCAGAATATTGGGAAACACGTGATATAGGTTCATTATCTACAATGTAATTACAGTGTAGTTACATTACAACAATTGTGCATGAAGCAAGGTTATTATATTTAGCTACAGATATATTTCTATTTGGAACATGTACTGTAACTGCAATACAAAACTATTTATTGTTAACTACATGTATTTTTGTTAAGTACATGTAATTGTCCTTTTTAAAATTAAATTTATGATTAAATATAAATATATAAAATACCCAACATGTTGAATATTCAAGATATCTTTAAATCCTACTTAAATCTGCACAGTAACTAAGACTGACTTTCTACACTATTCTGTTGTTTTATCTATTTACTTTTATCTATTTATCAGCTATTAGGCAGATAAGGTACTGAAATGAAAATATTTAACTTGGTGAGATCCACACTGATAACTGCTCTGACCTATTTGTGTCAAAACAGATAAAACCTGTCACACCTTTGTGTGAACCTGTTGTGAAGTGAAACACACCTGGTAACTGGTGTGTGGACTACATTCCCTAGAAAACTGTACCTGGACTTCATTTCCCAGAAGTCTGTTGGAGAACAATGGTGTTATCCTACTGTTGTTATGTTAACCTGCTGTTATCTCACCATTGGTAGATTGATTAGCACAGCTCTGGTTGCTGACAGACATGATAACTATCATAGATCTCAGTCTATATTTGCAAAGACATGCTCCTTCTTTCTCAAACTTCACTGCAGTTTACATGAAGAGACCCTGAAAAGGGGACACCAATTCCTCATGACACTCTATTCTTGCAAGTATCCTCAGCCTCTAGATAATGCTGGATTAATTCTTTAGCTCCTAAGGGGGCTAAGAAGTCTGCTTTTTGTGTGAGTATGACTGTACGCCAGCCGACAGGCCTTCAGAAGGCCTAATCAGATTGACTGGATTGACAGATTGCAGTGGCTAGAGTGTCACAGGGTCTGTCTGGCACTATTTATATTGAGCTGATCAGATTACTGACTATGTAAACAAGCCTCAGCTACAGTGTTTCTATCTCTCATTAATACTCCACTGGCATGAATGGTACAACCCTTGCTGTGTAGACACATCTTTTGGTCAGGCAAACATGCCAGGGCATCATGCTGCGGAGGGGACTGACTGACAAAGTTAATTTTATTTACAATTTATATTTATTTATTTGGATTGGATGGGTAACAAAGAGCCCTAATTGTGTGATTAACCCTGTTCTGGATGATGTGTGCAGTAATACCATTTTGTTATTGCCATTTGACATTGAACTTCGCCCTATAAATTAAACGTTGTCTTTATGTAAAGTGCCACAGTACCTTTAAAATTACTTTTAAAAATGTAACTTATGATTATATATAAATATATATAAAATACCCAACAAATGTTGAATATTCAATATATCTTTAAATTCTACTTAAATATGCCCTGTAACTAAGGCTGACTTTCTACACTATTCTGCTATTTTATCTACAGTCTTTGATTACTGAGAGCACAGTGAAGGTGACAAAGAGGGAAACTGGTGTAATATGCAAACATGAAGACAGTCCTCTCGGTGTGAATGAAAGCTAGTTACATTGTCATACAGTTTCTCCGATTTTATTACATTAGAATATAGATCATGAATGTCTACATTTTAGATTAAAAAATTAAAGTTAGAATTTCATTTTTTTGGTGTGTTTATCCTTAATTATAACCAATAAGATAATCCAAGACTTGGTTCTTTTTTGAGACATTATAATTACAGTCCAATGTTTTGTGCACTTCATTTTGTGTTTTCTGAGGTGTGCACATGTAAATGATTGTTGTGAGCATCCCTATTCGTTTAATGAAAAAAAAATATTTGATTGGACAGGAGGGAGAACTGAAATTCCAGATTAAAAATTGACAGGGAATTAGATATACAGTATACTGTACATGAGTGGATGTAGAATTAACTTATTTGATTGAAAAAAACTGAAATTGGAGAATCTGGAACTGCACTTGAACGAACATGTACAGTGGAGGGAATTTGGTTGGAGTGGCATTGCTCCATAGGGCATTGTTCCTAGAATGCCATTAAAAGCTTTTAGAGAGACCTCTTTAACGCCAGTGGCTTGGCACATTGTTCAGACTGTCAGTACCATCCTCCAGGGATTTCTCTGTCACCACCAACCATGGGTTCAGGCAGAGCTGTTATGTTGTTCACAGCTCTTTGAAATCAATGCAAGGGAACTAACAAAATGGAAATAAATGTTGGTGATTTCTAAAGGCTTCCATCACTGCTGTCTTACCCATTAAACAGGCTAGAAATAAAGACCTTTTGATGGCGTGTTTATTTTTCATGTGACAGCATTGGCTGGTGACATATTGGTATAAGTATGTAACAGCGAGATAGATCCACTGACCTCAATATGAAATGTTTAAAAATAGATTTCCAATTCATCACTGCAGCACCAGTTGCGATGTCAGACCTTACTTAGTCACTTGTATTATGTTTTCGTTTGGAAAATAAGGCATTCATGTAATATTGCTACATATTTATATTTACTTTTTATATAAATATATTTGATAGTTTTTACTGTATGTATTACATACTAATATGAATAGTGTATAATAATATGAATACTATCAATTCTAGTATTATAGCAACTATCAATACTGTTGTTGAACTTAAAATCTAAAACTGTTTACTCTAACTTATCAATATTTTTTAAAATAGAGAAGTTTTAATGTTAAATGTTAAAAACTTAATCAGAACTGCTGTTAAATTCCTTCGGAGAATGAGATATGCCAGTCTCTGGTAACTTCCATATCAGAAGTATTCAAAGTACTGATCATTGAGCTGAATCTTGAGTGAGCAGTACCTCAGCTCCCTGTCCTAACATAAAATGACAAAAAACAAAACAAAATGAAATGCACAAAACATTGGACAATAGATTATAATGTCTCCCTGTCCTAGGTTGGACAACAGCTCGGATGTCAACTAGACTGGCTGTGTGGAGGGTTTACAACAGAATGACCTTCAAATGCACTAGAACTACAGTATAAATTGAATCAATAAAATAATTCAATATACTTGAACACGAGTGAAGTGAATGAGCTGCTTTGACCAAGATACTTACCTAAAACTGCTTCAGGAAAATGCACAGAAGTATAAATGGGTACCAATATAAACTGTTTTGAATACTAATATTTTCAAGTCCATTCCTGACAGCAAGAAGTGGGATCTGAATCCTTGTTGATTTCAAAAACTGGAATTCTTTCTTCTCTTTCTGTATCACTGCTTAGACTTTGGAAGTCTATCCGAGCCACTCTTAAACCTCTGTGGGAATCAGGTACAGTTAGACATGGGTCCATGTCAACTGCACCTGTCACACTAAAGGATGGGCACACGGGGATTTAAAACACCTGTACCTCACCAGGGTTTGCTGACCACTACTGGGACACTGGGCCCCTGTGTGGCTACTAACAGAATATCACTGCAGTCGCAGGAAAGGTCTCCTTTGATTAAAATGTTACGAGGCAAACCACAATCGAAATAATCACCCAACATCATGTGTATTTCAAGGAATCGACCAGTTTAAGCTAGATTAAAATGCTCAACAGCTACATAACGAGTGACCAAAAGGTATCCACTCACCAATTGCTGATGCACATCGCTCAAGTAGAGAAAAGTTAGCTCTCCCTGCTTCCAGAACTGCTCTTCAGGGTAAAGCTGTCCAGTTAATACTCCTGCTTGTGTGATTACAATTATGATGTTTATTCTGGGTGCTGTCCTTTTCCTCTGAGGATAGCGCAAAGGAAAGGTGTTCTATAAATGTGCAGCAGCCTCCGTGAGGGGCTTCGAGGGGCAGGGAACTCAAGTCGGGGCCGCCATAGTGGATGGCGTCAAACTGTGTGGGAATACTTCCTTGGCAGATCAGAATAGCTGGGAGTCAGCTGGAGCTGACAGGCTCTAGGTAACCCTGTAAACAAACTGGCAGGGCCAGGAAAACAGGCCTGCTGCAGCAAAGGGCACAGCGGCCCCACTGCAGTGTTAATAGATTGCCTTATAGATTAACTTATTCATTTCTGATTTTCCTTTTTCTTGTAATTCAGGTGCAGTAATTGGCTGTTGCAAAACTGGCATGAGCCTGGTCTACAATCTGATGAAACCTGGAGAGCCAAATCAACCAATACAAGATGTTCACTAAGCAGTACAGCAAAGATGAATGCCAAAGACAACCACATCACCAAACCAAATGTTTCGCAAAAGTGTAAGGAAAATACAGATAACATGGCTTCTTTTATCGAAAGGTTATGTGGCAAACCTGTGCTGCATGATGGCCTCAGATCAATTTGTCACCAGCAACCAAATGACCTAGATGGGCCGAATGGCCTCCTCTCATTCATCAGCACATACTGCTGGTCTGGCGCCTTAACTACAGCCCTAAGCAGCACAAGGACCCATACAGAGCCTTCTCATGAGCCTCAGGACCATGGAAACAGCACAGCAATGCCCACACTGGGCTTCCCTTCTGACTCCAAACCCCCTGGCATAGCACAAACGTGGAATGGAAATGAAAACAAACCTTCAGTGCCACACAACTAGTTAAATAGAAGCCATGAATTTTAACGGATATATAATACAGATAGTAATTAATAAAGATAGCAAACTGCAGCAGACAGCAGACTTACCAGGTAAATATTAATATTCTCAAAGAACCAGTGAGTGTCAGAAGCAACAAAAACAGTCAGTGATGTTTGTTATGTGATGACACAGTGCAAGCTCTTTTATACAGTAGCTTAAAAGAAACATGCAGAATTATCTGGCAGTACCTATTCGCCAGCTCTATCCAGTAAACCTTGATTTACTTTCTCACTGATTAAGGAAACTATTTGACACGCCCGCCAGGTTCATATTTCCTTGAAATAGTTTGATTTTTATCGCTTACTCAAAGACTTTGAGCAATTTAATGCCTTCATAAAAATCTTCATTAGCTCTTTTACCATCAAATATGGGTACTGCAGACCCAATTTTCAATTTCACATACCTGGTACTGCGAACTTTTTCACAAATTCCAGCCCCTGCAGCCCTCACAGCCTGTGACAACAACGGAAATTAGACATAGTGGAAGCACTGAAAGACATGCTGCCCCTTGCAGTTCTTTACCTGGTAATAAACAACAGCATAGCTGGTTTGTTTAACATGCTCCATCCTTCTTCCTTAGATGTAAACAAATGATATTTGGAAATATTCTGTACCACATGCAGCATTACAAATCGACCATAATATCACAGATGGGTGACTAATAGCTTGTCACTACTGCAACACAGCACCAGTTACATATATGAGCACTGTATCCCACTTACTGCCTCTAACATACTTGTTGAAATGCTGTTATATAAGACTGAACTACAATAAAAAAGAAAGGCTCTTCCCCGCATGACTGCACTTCCATACGACACGGCTGAGTGAAGCACCTCATGATGAGATAAGACTGATGTGAGGCCATTATTATGAGCCAGTAATCATAAAGCCAATTTATGTGCACACAGCATCTACAGGCACAATTGTGCTTGTTTACCAGACATCATTCTTCTGACGAAAAAGACTCAACCAGTTAAAATAATATCAGGGTATACATGCATATGTGAAATGAAAAAAGAACAGAACAAGTCTTGTTAATTTAAATGTCTATTAAACTGTACTACTGAATTGCCCTGAGAAGTTATTGTCATGTCAACAGCCTCTCCAGAACACTCCTGCAACAAAATGATGCTGCTTAACCAGCATGTTCTGGAAATAACACACTGTAAAGAATGTAACAGGTTTAAAATGGGAATGTAGTGCAAAAAATGGCAAATCCCATCCACCTTCATGTGTGTGTTAAACGCTGACTGCTCAATTGCAAACACAAACACCAAAAGAATAAAATAGGATTACAGGCAATGATCAGAAGTCAGCATCTTTAAAATTCTGCAACGTTAAGCAGATGTGGACTAATGCTAGGACTAAAGTCCAAGCATGAGTACTACAAACATTTCTCTTCTCTATTTCACAGCTGTTTAAGAAAAAAACACTGCTTAGTCTCAGACTGCCTCCCTCTGTGCTAAAAGCTTAATAAAGACATTATTAGGTGTCTCAGTCCTCATCTGTTCAATACATTGTATTTTCTATACAAAACAGCCCATTCTCTTACATCTTAACAGTGTTACTGAATGTTTTTCTCCCATACAGGTCAGTAAAACACTGATATCATTCAATCGTAGTAAAAATAATACAGAAGAAAGAAAAGCATTGGCAAAGAAAGGCAAAACTATAATAGAAAAGTAAAAATAAAAAAACATGGCAATAATTTGAAACTACGATAAATGACAATCTGCATATCCCGCACAGAGCAACCTACTGACCTGAAGACAGCTGCTCCGGCTCCTGTCCTAAGGCAGTGCAGTCACCATGGTCTAGACTGACTGAGAGATGATGACAATCCCTGAGGGAGCGTCATGTGTCACACAGATAAAATGAGAGGCCTCTTAATCCCAGATTGTGTTATCTGTCTGCATATGGCCTTCTTTCAACCCCACAATCCACAAAATTCTGTGCAAGAAAAATAGATTTTAAAAAATCTCGTGCGGTCAACCTATTTTAAAACTGTACAATTGGTACTCGGAGGAATTGGCTACTGAATTGCTTTTATTACTGTGTCAAACCTAATCTCTCAAACTATTTCTCATTTTCCCTTTTTCAAGTATTCTTCCACAATGTCTCCATGAGAAATTGAAGAAACGTGACATTTTGTTAAATTATGCAACCATGCAATATTAAAACATCACTCCTTCTTTCATTAAAATTTTATTTTAATCATCCCTTGAAAATCTAAATGACTTTTTAAACCTCCAAAGACATTTTTATTGTGTTTATTTTCTGTATAATAAGCCCTAAACACTGTCTCAAGGTTAAAGGGAAACTCCATAATGCATACAAAACAGACAAGCTATAGAATCCGATACAGGAGCTTGGGATTGGATTTACTTCTGGCAGGTGAGTTTGACAAAAATAATTTATTTCACACTCATTCCCAAATGGGTAGAAGTTCCTGACATCAGTAAACCTATGAACACCCTGCTGTCTAATATAGGTGGCACATCTGTTGCTTTCAAATAATCGTTTACTTACCTTATCTTACCATATCCTCCGATGCACAATGGCGAGTGTGAAGTGGGACGAGGAAGAGAAGATCTAAATACAAGGTCATTTGTCTCTCCTGGAAAAGAGCAGGTGAGATGGAGAGAGCTATTGCCCTGTCCTTAGTGGCTTGTGAACTTGTATAGTATTTGCTGTCCTACCAGCTCTGAAATTTATGAAGTTGTGGACCGAGGTGCAGACAAAGTTCTACGTTTACAACACAATTTGTATTCCCATTCTCATCTATGGTCATGGGCTCTGGGTAATGACTGAAAGGGAGAAACTGAAGGCAAGAGACTGCAATGACATTTTTCCATTGGATTGATGGGCTCACCCCTGCAGAACACGCTAGAGTTCACTGGGGAGAACCTTAGTGTTAAACTGCTCAATGGAACTGACTGAGATAACTGTTGAAAGAAACAAACTGAGATAATTCAGGTACTCGGTAATGATATCCCCAGGACAATTTAGGTCACATAGAAGAGAGATTATATATTTTATCTGATCTGAGAATACCTGGGAATCCCCCAAGATAAATTGTAACTCTCTGACGAGGAAAGGGATATTTGGTTTAACTTACTCAACACTGTGCCACTGTAACACCTTTTTGACTAACACTAAACTATGAGTTTGAGGAAAGCACCACTGCCCTTTTCACTTCTTTTGATTGACAAGAAACACAACAAAGTGTGTTCAAAGCTAGTGATATCAAACTCCAACGCAACTGCAAAACTAATAAATGTCAGTTAAAATAAATATTTTTCAATGAGTGCCAGTTCACAAAAACTTAAGAACACTGTTTTTGCATTACTAAATTAAGTGGTTTTCTGTCTTTTCTCATAGAACCTTTCCTCTTTTCCAAGGTAATACTTTCTCTGGTGAATGGATAAAAAGGCACCTATCACAATGTATCATTCATGTAAAAGGCAAGTCCATCATCGACACTCATGAGCCAATAAAATTAATGTAATACTAGATAAAAAGCAATCTTATATAAGATATCAGGTGAAGGATGTTGACATGACAAACATTAACAGGAAGGGCTGAGTACCGAGTCTCGAGGGGCCTCAAATGCAATGAGTCAAGATTAAAATGAAAAAATGAATACACATTGTAAATATATAATCAAATATTTAATCAAAATGTACAAATGGAAAACAAAACTCTTTACAAATCTGAATGAATAAAATACAAGAAAAATATATTTAAAAAAATGTAAAGTTATTGGAGACATCCCTTATTTCGAGGCACTTTAATACATAAAACAAATCTATAAAAACCAATTAAAATCTGTGGCTCTGTGTCATCTGTGCACAGGGGCACGTGAACATCAGGTATTAACCAGATGAAGAATGAAGATGTAAAACAGTACAATTATACAACGTTTTACCACCTCACCCTCTATGCTAGTCAGTTTACAGATCAATTAAATCAAAATAAAACATGCTAAATGTCCTTTTCTCATGTAGGCTCTTGTTCAGTGTCATCATGCTGATAGAGCTGCTGAACCAGCCCTTTACTTAAACAGTACTGTGTATGTCTCTAAACTAATCAAGAGAATACCAACTACTAACATACATGTAAACATTAAGGGGGGATATTCTGGAGTTAAAATAACTGTGTTAGACCACGGCCCACATTTCCATGTCACGTTTTGCAAACAAATAACGGGTTGTAAAATAAATATAAGCTAAATACCCCTGGTGCAAGGCTTTGCACTGTAGGGTCTCCAGTACGAGTCACACAACTGTCTGAAGACAATAACTAAAGCTATGAAACACGGTCACCATCCTCAGCACATGCTCAGCAGATGTGTGCTTAGGTTAATTAAGATAAAGACAGCTGTTTAAAGATTTTTTACACTTTTCATTACAAAGTCACTCGAAAATATTTTAAGAAATGGTTATCCAATTAGGTTTGAGGATAAGAGACAAACATTTGCTCTTTGGTGGTGCAAAAGTTGAAGCATAAAGTATTTAAAAAACAAACTTATCAAAGGAGTTCTGGGCATAAAGTATGGTCAGCCTTTAATTTCTAGGATTCTTCTGGTCTCTTCTTATCAAGACTCAGTTTCTTTAGCTGTTGGCGGGGGTGTTATTAAGGCTTCTTTAATTTCAAAAGTCTCAATTATTTCCTAAAAAACAGCAAAAGCAAAACTCAGTAAGTAGAGAAGCAGGTGAGACTCAAGTAGCATGACATTTTGTATTGCAGGATTTATTAGTTCCAGGATTTCTTGCACAAACTTTATAGTTTATTAGCATTATATTTCACATTATTTTGAATTCAAACTGTATATATTCTAGTTTATTAAAAACAACGCTCCTATCTTGAAATATCAAGTGCTTGCTGAGGGCTGACATTGGATATTGCAGATTAATCTCAAAACATCTAGGAGGTTCTCTCTGCTTCCCTAGTAAAGGAGAGGGCCAGGAAAAGAGATGTGCATCACGGACTTCAAACTCAGTTCCTGAGAGTCCTCACTGTCCTATGAAATCCTTTTCACCTTTTCAGTGGAGCAGAGGGCAGGTAAAGGCAGAGATGGGAGAGGAGGGCAGGTAAAGGCAGAGACGGGAGAGGAGCAGGGGG